TGTAGAGACAAGGTCTCGCCAAGTTGCCCAGGCTGGTCTTGAACCCATGGGCTCAGGCAATCATCTCGCCTCCACCTCCCAAAGTGCTGAGATGACAGGCATGAGCCACTGAAAGATGTCATTTCTTAAAACAGAACACACACATCTGCCCCACAATGGGCCATGAAACCACTGACTTTTACCTATTATTGCGTGTGCACTTGCATGCGTGCAAACACACCCTCAGTCCCATCGCCTGACTCCTCGAGTCAGCAGAGACAGTGGCGGATGTGCCAAGTCTCCCTGCCTTTCCCTGCCTGGTACAGTGGGCTGGGGCCAGCAGCGGTGGTGTTAACCAGCTAACCAGTCGCCAGCGGGTGTTAGCAGGTCAAATCTGGTGGCAGCAGCTCTATCAGGACAAAGCTATTTCCAGTCCAGGTAGCACATGAAGTAGTCTGCTAAAATTTTTTTCCAGGCAGAAAAATGAAAAACCAGCCTAGGGTTTATTGAAGAAATGGACAGGGATTATCAAGCCCCACCTTCTAGCACGTACTTAAAAGATCTTCTTCAGTGAGACAGCGTGGCACCCTAGAAGGCGGAGGGAGACAGCAGACAGGAGGAGCCAGCCGCCTCCCACCTCATGACAATGACGGCCGGGAAGCAAACTGCCTTTGCACCCATTCCCCCACCTGGCGGAGCCCCGTGTCCTGGCACCAGCACAGGGCTTTGCTCAAGGCAGGTACTCAGGAGACGTGGCACCGAATGAACCGCCCACAGGCCAAGTTTCTTCCAGAAGGCAGTGAGAGGGGGAAGGGGTGAAACACGGACCCAGGAGCTTCTCTGCCAGCGTGGTCAGCTGCTCAATGCTCAGGCCGCGCTTTGTGGTGGATGAGAACTGCCAGCTCAGCACCTCGGCTACCTGGTCCCAGGTGCCGATTGGGGGCTTGGTGAAAAAGTTCACGTTCTGTGGGAAAGAACACATGTGCTTATGTAGCTGCAAGGTGGGACCAGTAACCGGCTCCAAGTCCTGAGAAGTCCCAAGAGGACAAGGGGCATCAAAGAAAAGGATGGGCACACACCTTGGGGTTATTGGTCAGCATGTTGTACCACAGGATGGACGCCCAGGCGTTTGGCATCTGACAGATGTTGGAGATCACCACGACGGGCAAGGAGTGCGTCTGCGGCGGGAGGAGGAGTGAGATGCATCCCCCTGCCCCGGGGCTCTTGTGCCCCAGAAATCTTTCCTGCCTAGCTTGCAGGGTTGGGAACAGG